CATCTATCTATTTCTATCTATCTATCTATCTTTATATATATATATATATATATATATATATATATATATCTATATATAGTGAGTGTGTAGACTATACATTAATTGTGAAATAAACATGTTCTATCTATAAATGTATGTTTATTCATCTGTCTTCCCATTGAACTATCGCCCAACCAGTCTTTCTGGTACGGCCAATATATGTACATTGCCGTGCCTTACCTATATTTACTTTTGTATAATTATAGCTATACATCTACTTATCTACCCTGACCCCTTCATTCATTCTTCATAACCCTTGCAAGATCCATTAATCAAACTATATGTTGATTAATGGCACATAACACTTTTCAAGGTCATGATTTTTCTTGGCTGTGCCCATGTAGAATACAGTACTGCCAAACGTATAACGTACATCACTTACAAAGCCTATTTTGATGGGATTTTTACACCATAATGAATCGTTAGCCATATATGACAATCATAAAGAATGTAAATATGGCAATTTAAAGACGACAGATTTATATTATCAAATACGTATGATATATTTTCCTCTTGTTTGATGCTCTATATCCCTTTCCTGTTAAGCGATAAGAGTGATATTATCGCTGGTGAATATTGCCTTTAATTAAGTAATATGACTCATTCTGGATGAATTAGTGATACATTGTAACTTTTGTAGAATAATTTGTGAGGGTCCAATTTCATAATTCTACTTTTTACAGTTTTTTTTTATTTTTTAGTGGACATAGGTTCGTTTATTGCAGACGCCTGTATATAATTGTTTGTATGTTGCATTGCTTTGATATATGGTGTAGTTTTGTCTTATTATTTACAGTTTAAGTGACATGATATTAATGTTAACTGTAGTTTATCATGACGGTAATGCCGTAAGCAAGACAGGAAAGGAATTCTGGTAGCCACAGTCGAAGATTATTTTCTTATACATTCATATTTTTTTTAGGTGATGCTAAGATACAGACTAATTTCATGTTTCTATTTGTCTGGAGACACGAAATACCAGAAACTGAGTTTTAAAGTTTCAAAATTAATGGTTATATCTTCTATTTAGAGGCGTTCACAATATGTGACCGGCAGCCGGCCAGAAACTAAAACTTTAGTATATTAAGGTTTATAAATTGCATTGCTAGTAAGTTTTATGGTATAATTATAGTTTCCATGCTCAAAACAAAGCTTATAGGAATTAAATTGTGTGACAAATATTGATAATGCCAATAAGGGTGACCAAACTATAGTATAATTGGTTGCAGGTCATTTAGTATGATAGGCAGTTTTGTTTAAGATTATTATCACTGATATTGTTATCACGATTATAGTTGTTATTATAATTTTGAGTATTATTGTCACTGTGATCATTATTGTTATTACTGTAACTTTAAATGTTATTAGCAACATCTGCTGTATTTGTTGTTGAATATCATAATAATATTGATATCACTATTATTGTTATTGTTGTTATTATCATCATCATCATCATTATTATTAATATTAATATTGTTGTTAATATTGTTATTACTGATATTATTTTAGTTATTGTTATTATTATTGTTATTGTTATTATCATCATTATTATTATTAATATCATTATTTATCATCGTCGTCATTACTAGTATTATGATTATTATTATTATTTTTATTGTTACTGTCACTGTCATTATTTTTATTAGCCATCATTATTGTTATTATTGTTTTATTTTTATTGTTGTTGTTATTGTAGTTATCATTGAAGTTATTCTTATTATTATTATTATCATTATTGTTGTTATTATTATTATTATTATTATTATTATCATTATCAGTAATGTTGTTATTATTATTTTGTTATTATTATTATCTTCATCATCATTAATCATTATCATTATTATTGTAATTTTCTTTATTTTTGTTCTTATTTTAGTTGTTATTATTTTTATTAGTTATTTGTATCATTATTACTCATGTAATTATGAACTGTTGTTGTTATTGTTATTCATCTTATTTTTTGTTTTATTATTATTATTGTAATCATTGTCATTTTTATTATTGTTATTTTTGTTGTGATTATTATTAGTTGTATTTGTATTGTTAATATTATTGTATTCTTATTAATATTTTTTTTATCATTATTGTTGTAGTTGTTCCTGTTGTTATTGTTATTTTTTTATTGTTTATTGTTATTATTGTCTTCATCATTATTATCTTCATTATCATTATCATCCTCATTAATATTGTTATTCTTATTTGATTGACTTTATGATTGTTTGAATTTTGCTGTTATTATAATTTGTTGTTATTGTTATATTTATTTATTATTTTAATTCAAGTATGTTTATTATCAGTTAGAACACTTTACTACTCATGGCAATACAGTTAACTGACTTAGCACTTAATTGATCTTTATCTTGTAAAGTCATAATGGTAGTGGTTAGGTATCACATTTAATATGCACACACACACACACACACACACACACACACACACACACACACACACACACACACACACACACACACACACACACACACACACACACACACACACACATACACACACACACAGGCACAAAAATCAAAATATTCCCACCCACACATAATCATATAAATACACCTTACTTCAGTTTTGGAGGTAATGTTTCAAGTGTTAACATTTTTACACTTTGATACTATAAGCTTTTATTGATTTTATAGTTTTGTTGGCATGAGAAATGAGATTTAGAGATATCTTATGTTTTTTCATGACAGTTATTAAAACATAAATTCAGCATGACAAAGCAAAACCAAAAGAAAATAAAAAGTTTTTTTTTTTCCTAATAAAAATAATTTGCTATATTCCACAGGTTATCAGAATGTTATCTTTAGTCTCTCTCCTGTTATATTTAGATAGCTATCAAGTCCAAGGTCAGGGTACAGTATCTTGTTTTACTGTATATTCTGATTATTCTGTAGATATCTTTCAGTGTCAGAACTGCAACTTGTGGGTTAACAGGTGAGAGATATTGATGAGACTGGTTATCAGGTATTTTTTACAGTTTGTAGGTACTTTCAGTAGGTAAAAAAAAAATATACAAGGTTTTAGTACTTGCTCAATGATTATAATATTGAAATTACTTTTTCAGACAAAATGGGTATTTTTTCACTACCCGTTTTGGCATTGATAGCCATTGTGGGTGTGGTGATCAAGGCAGTCCTGTACTTCACTGCAAAATCTAAGAATCCATTCGAGGAACCTATACGGACACCAGTAAAGCCAAAAGTCACTGACCAGAAGACTCGAGATGCTGTTCTCAAGCAAGGTGTGTTAATAATGTTTTTGTTAGATTTGTAAAAAAAAAATATACAAGGTTTTAGTACTTGCTCAATGATTATAATATTGAAATTACTTTTTCAGACAAAATGGGTATTTTTTCACTACCCGTTTTGGCATTGATAGCCATTGTGGGTGTGGTGATCAAGGCAGTCCTGTACTTCACTGCAAAATCTAAGAATCCATTCGAGGAACCTATACGGACACCAGTAAAGCCAAAAGTCACTGACCAGAAGACTCGAGATGCTGTTCTCAAGCAAGGTGTGTTAATAATGTTTTTTGTTAGATTTGTTTCAGGGTAAAAATTAGCTTTTGAAAAAAGTTTTTTTTCCATTGCTTGGCAAAAGTTCATAAAACTGATTGCTAAATTACAAGATATCCAAGGATAGGAAAGGATTAGGATCACATCATCTCTCATTTTTTTTTTTTTTATTTTTTTTTTTTTTTCCTAATAAAAATAATTTGCCATATTCCACAGGTTATCAGAATGTTATCTTTAGTCTCTCTCCTGTTATTTGGGTAACAGGTGAGAGATATTGATAGACTGGTGTTATCAGGGATTTTTTACAGGTGTGTAGTACTTTCAGTAGGTAAAAAAAAAAATATACAAGGTTTTTAGTACTATTGCCATGATTTATAATAGTGGAATTAACTTTTTCAGACAAAATGGGTATTTTTTTTCACTACCCGTTTTGGCATTGTGCCATTGTGGGGTGTGGTGATCAAGGCAGTCCTGTACTTTCACTGCAAATAGCTAAGATCCAATCGAGGAACCTATACGGACGACCAGTAATCCAAAAGTCACTGACCTATGCAGACTCGGACGATGCTGTTTCTCAAGCAAGGGTTGTTTAATAATGTTTTTTGTTAGATTTTGTTTCAGGGTCGTAAAAAATTAGCTTTTGAAAAAAGTTTTTTTTCCATTGCTTGGCAAAAGTTCATAAAACTGATTGCTAAATTACAAGATATCCAAGGATAGGAAAGGATTAGGATCACATCATCTCTCATTTTTTTTTATCTTTTGATTTTGTTTCTTATCTATTATATACAGTACTGTTTGGTCTTGTGTTTCTGTGAGATGTATGTGCTGTAGGAAGTTCAAAGTAACAGAATTTCCACCTGTGTATATCTTGTCTTAGATAATCCCAAGTTTAGTTATTTGTCATTTATTTGTACACCACAAAGATGGGCAGACATCTTAACTACACAATTTTAATGTTGATATGTGTTATTCACTTTTATTATTCAAATATTCTTATACTGAAGAACTAAAAGATATATATATTCTCCCTAGGCTTTAGTGAGGACAAAGTGCCAGCAAACTTAGATGCCATAGTTGTGGGCAGTGGCATTGGAGGAATGTCAACAGCAGCCATTATGGCCAAAGCAGGAAAGCGAGTGTTGGTTTTGGAGCAACATGACCAGGTATCTCCAGCATTATTCTTATGGGCCTTAATGTTTATTTATCTCTGTTTTAGAGTAAGATGATTATTATTATTATTATTATTATTATTATTATTATTATTATTATTATTATTATTATTATTATTATTATTATTATTATTATTATTATTATTTATTTATTTATTTTTTTTTTTTTTTTTTTTTATTTTTTTTTTTTATTTTATTTTTTTTTTTTTTTCATTTCACTTTTTATATTCTTCCTTACCTTCAAACCAAAGCATTTTCTCTTTTCACCAGATGAAACCTATGACGAGGTCATTTTCGCGGAACCGGAAAAGCCAGTTCGTAAATATCCAGTCAGAAGTGGCAAGGGGAACTGGGCTTCTGACCTCAAAAAGCGTTTCCCATTAGAGGAGGCCAATATTGATAAGTATGAATTATGCTTCCATGTACTTGAAAGAGTGATATGTAAATATGTATCTGTCTGCCCATCTGTCTTTATAGATATATGGATAGATTGATTAACATATATTAACCCAGTGTCACCGGGAAAATGATGTGTTCATTTTGGAATGTTTTGTAAGATGTCTCTGCACTTACATAGATGGCTCTGCAAGTGCATAGCCACAGAGGAGTCTATTAGTAGACCTTGTGACCTTACCTGATTTCATCTTTTCTTGAAATTGTGGAAAAATGTTTTTTTACTAATACTATCAATATTGATGGTTTTATTTTTATCATAGACATTATAATTACTACTATGTTATTGACATTAGTAACAGCAATATAAGATAACATAATATATTTAAATATTAAAAGACAAAAGGGAACTGATTAGAGAGAAAAGATGGGCAGACATCTTAACTACACCATTTTTAATGTGAATGTGTTTATTCACTTTTATTATTCAAATATTCTTATACTGAAGAACTAAAAGATATATATATTCTCCCTAGGCTTTAGTGAGGACAAAGTGCCAGCAAACTTAGATGCCATAGTTGTGGGCAGTGGCATTGGAGGAATGTCAACAGCAGCCATTATGGCCAAAGCAGGAAAGCGAGTGTTGGTTTTGGAGCAACATGACCAGGTATCTCCAGCATTATTCTTATGGGCCTTAATGTTTATTTATCTCTGTTTTAGAGTAAGATTTTTTTTTTTTTTTCATTTCACTTTTTATATTCTTCCTTACCTTCAAACCAAAGCATTTTCTCTTTTCACCAGATGAAACCTATGACGAGGTCATTTTCGCGGAACCGGAAAAGCCAGTTCGTAAATATCCAGTCAGAAGTGGCAAGGGGAACTGGGCTTCTGACCTCAAAAAGCGTTTCCCATTAGAGGAGGCCAATATTGATAAGTATGAATTATGCTTCCATGTACTTGAAAGAGTGATATGTAAATATGTATCTGTCTGCCCATCTGTCTTTATAGATATATGGATAGATTGATTAACATATATTAACCCAGTGTCACCGGGAAAATGATGTGTTCATTTTGGAATGTTTTGTAAGATGTCTCTGCACTTACATAGATGGCTCTGCAAGTGCATAGCCACAGAGGAGTCTATTAGTAGACCTTGTGACCTTACCTGATTTCATCTTTTCTTGAAATTGTGGAAAAATGTTTTTTTACTAATACTATCAATATTGATGGTTTTATTTTTATCATAGACATTATAATTACTATGTTATTGACATTAGTAACAGCAATATAAGATAACATAATATATTTAAATATTAAAAGACAGAGGGAAAGATAGAGAGAAAAACAGAAAAGTTTTAGTACTTGCTAATTCCTGTTTTATCTTCAGATTTTTTGCCTTGTTGGAAGAAATCCGTGAAGGCAATTCCAAATCAATTTTAGTGAAGGTGCTTCCACTCTGGCTTGTGTGGTTCCTAAATACTACAGGCCTTCTTAGTTACATTACTGATTTTTATGACTGGAATGCAAAATCTTGTAGGGAGGTTGTGTATGTAAGTATGAATCATGTTATTTTCTGTGTCAAGCTTATTTTTTCAGTCTTCTCTCTTTTCCTTTATATCTCTTGCTGTTGTCTTTATTGAATTATTGATTTATTTACTTTTTCACCTATTCTTGACTTTTTATTCCCTGTGTATATTAACTTTTCTCTACTCATTTTGCTCTTCACTGCCAAAATATGAATCTTGATTGATGCATATATTGGAAATGTTATTATTTTTACCGAGTCTGAAGTTTTGATATTTCTCTATTATTTAAACTCCAATATGTATTTTTCCCTCACATCAGGGAATAACAGAAAACCAGGAGCTCCGGGACATTTTTTGCTATTGCTTTGGAGACTTTGGTACCCCTCCAAGCAAAGCAGGCTTCCCAATGCAAACTCTGCTCCATACCCACTTTCAAAAAGGTTAGTAAGTGTGTATATTATATATATGTGCAATGGAATGAATTGTAGCAACTGTTGAAAATGTGATGATATTTGATAATTTAGCAAAAATTGCAAGTAAAATTCTGTTTCATCTAATCTGATGGGAAGTAAAGTTTCTTCACCAGAATTCATTTGGAGATTATAGGATGGAAATTTTCATATTCATTTAACAAGGGCGTGTATATGGCATTGTTTATTTATGTAGATTATACATGTATTCCAGTCTTAATCCTAACAGCATATTGAAATATGTAAAATTATCTTCTGATTTGTAGAAAACTCAGAGCTGCATTGAATATTCACAGGTGCTGCATATCCCATTGGAGGAGCATCAGAGATTGCTTTTCACATTATTCCAGTTATTGAGGCTGCAGGAGGCAGAGTGCTTGTGCGAGCTGAAGTGAGTATAAACTATTTTTATACAGTTGTTGATTCAAATTTTTACTTGCAGATATCTCATGCATATGCACATATTAATACTAACAATCTAACCCGGAACTGTGTGCATGTTCATCTTGAAAATGTTTCACAGTTATATATATGTGAATATTGTAATTTATGCATTCATGCAAAAATTAACTGTCTTAATCTTAGTGACCTATACAAATGACACTGCTATATTTAATGTTGAAAGTATAAAGAGTCATTTTATGTTTCCTGTGCTTCTGATTTCTCTATCCAGCAGTTGACTCACATGTAAGCTTGGCATGTAGATTGGTATGGCTCATGGAGTTCCTGTTTTGTTTGAGTTAATACAATAATTTCTTGTTTCAGGTCACTCAAATACTTCTAGGTCATAAAGGGGCAGTGTGTGGTGTTCAGGTGAAAAAAGGAAAAGAAATTTATAACATTCAGGCTCCAGTGGTGATATCAGCAGCAGGTATGAGTAAATGTCATAATTTTTTCATAATGTGTTGTCCCCTCCCTTCCCCTCCCTCTCCCCTTCCATTTCCTCCTTGTCCCCCTCCTCTCTCTCTCTCTCTCTCTCTCTCTCTCTCTCTCTCTCTCTCTCTCTCTCTCTCTCTCTCTCTCTCTCTCTCTCTCTCTCTCTCTCTCTCTCTCTCTCTCTCTCTCTCCCTTCTCTTCTCTCTTCTTTCTCTTCTTTTCTCTTCTCTCTGTCCTCTCTCTCCTCTCTCTCCTCTCTCTCCTCTCTCTCCTCTCTCTCCTCTCTCTCCTCTCTCTCCTCTCTCTCCTCTCTCTCCTCTCTCCCTCCCCCTGCCCTTCAAACCTTTTTCCTTCCTTCTTATTCCTCATATAAAAATTTGTTTCTTTAAGTACGTTCACTTTATTCATAGTTGCTCATTTATTGTGTATGGACACTTGTGGTAAGAGGTTTCTGTACCCTCTCTGATAAAGCAACCCGATGTGTGTGTGTGAGTGTGTGAGTGTGTGAGTGTGTGTGTGTGTGTGTGTGTGTGTGTGTGTGTGTGTGTGTGTGTGTGTGTGTGTGTGTGTGTGTGTGTGTGTGTGTGTGTGTGTGTGTGTGTGTGTGAGTGAGAGTGAGTGTGTCTGTGTGCGTGCATTTCTCTCTCTCCCGAATTAAGTATTTTCAAATAAGGCAATCTTCTTGTACTTACAGTTGTTACACTCTAAGAATAAAATCACAAAAATTAAAGATTAAGAAGCTTGAGACATGCTCACTGAGAAGGAAAGAGAATGAAAAATCTTAAATTGGCAATATAACTGTTACCTCATCTGTTTAAATAAGATAGTGATATAAACATATTTATATATAACAATGTGTAACCCCTGTTATCTATTATCAGTTTAATTTTAAATGTCTTTGTAAAGTGAAGTGGTGATAAATATATATATATATATATATATATATATATATATATATATATATATATATATATATATATATATATATATATATATATATATATATATATATATATATATATATATATATATATATATATATATATATATATATTTTACCTATCAGTTAGTCCATCAGTCTATCAGTGGCCATCTAACTATCCATACTTATCTTATGGAATTATAGATTTCACTCCCCTTCCACAAGAAAGGAAAAGAGAGTGGGGGCAGGGAGAAGGAGAGAGAGTAATTGCTAGAGTGTTAATGGCCATTCCAGTGAATGTCAGAGAGAAAAAGAATTTACAAGAAAAGTAGTGGCCTTTCCACTGACATTTAACTAATCACATATATTGACAACCATTTATTCATAAATATTGTCTTTACTACAAGTATGGTATTGGCACTTGGTGGGTTACTCTACCATAGGGGTTATAGAACCATTTATTCATAAATATTGTCTTTACTACAAGTATGGTATTGCCAATTGGTGGGTTACCCTATCATAGGGGTTACAGAACCATACCACCCTTTACAATGAAAGCATTATCCTTATTGTCAACAGGACTCTACAACACGTACGAGCGTCTGTTGCCTTTGGACATAGCTTCATCATCAAGGATATGGCCAGTATTGCAGGACCTCGAACATGGGCCAGGGGCTATGTCTGTCTTTGTGGGCCTGGACTGCTCTGCTGAAGAACTTGATATCATTCACAAAAAGAATGCTTGGGTGTTCACTGGCAATGATATAGATAAGGTATTGGCTTACTGTTTGTAAGTTTGTAATATGATGTTTGTAATTTTGGAATTTTACTGAGACTGTATACCAAAACCTTCACTTTTTTTTTTTACAAAGTTTAAAATTACTTTTGAGAGGTTTGTCTGATTTAGACTTCTACAAAGGTATATAAATGGTGAAGTTGCTGCATTATGTACCTTGAAATGGGAAAGTAATTAAGGGGGTGTCAGGTTGAAATATTTTTGGGGGAAAAAATTAATTGTGAAAAAAAAAGAAAACTGGTGTAGGATTGAAGATTCATCATATGAAGTATTTACAGAATCATGAATAATAACAGATGTAATAGGCTTATGTACCCCCCATACCCTCTTTTCTCATCCTCATACATAGCACACACACAATAATTAACAGTAGCATATTTTCATGAAAAATAAACTAAATACATGTTTTATGTTATATTCTCATATGTCTGCAGGGGACGAGGGTGACAGATGTCTTTGGCAACAGAGCAGCTTATGCTCAGTGCCACACCAGACTCAGAAGTGAATGAAGGTTGATTTTTTTAGGATTTTTACATACTTTTTTAACATGGGTAGACATGGAAAGCTATATCTAACTAGGAGAAAAGAGGGAGGAGGGTGTACCTGCCACTCACTCATGAGAGAGCAATCACTCACATGGGTTATGTGATAATTCAAATTCATACCAGTTGGACTTTTTCCCTTTCATTTTATTTCTAATTAATAAATATTATTGATATTTAATAATGAAACTGTAATTACAGCTCACCCTGAATTACTTAAATCTCACTCGGGAAGAAGCATTGGATGTGGACATACCTCTTCTGTTCATCTCCTTCCCTTCAACTAAGGACCCAGAATGGGATAAAAAGTACAAAGGTAAAGTCTGTGGTACAATATGACATTTTTCTAAATAACCATTTATGTTTTGTCTTTAAAGGTATCACATTTCAAGCTGTATTTGAATTAGTTCCAGAGACTCATTCTTGTGTATTTGTGTGGTAGATATTATTCCTTCTTTTAATTAATAGGAAAAGGATTATTACAGAGTAGGTTGATTAGGAAAGAAGTGAAACATTTTCAATTAATAAATAGAACATTTAAGTTTTTCCTTGATTAAACTCTTGTTTGAGTGTAATTGTATTTTTCACTAAATTCAGCCCTACCTCTCAGAAGTTTGTGGTCTGTCATCCAGTATTTTTATTAACTGTTAATGATTGGTAGGGACTGTGGGGAGGTAATGTTGGTACTATTTGGCAAGATCCAGCTACCCCCCCTGCAAGCCGCTCCATTCCCTCATCCCCTTGTACCTTGTAAGTAAGCCTCATGGTATCTCTTTTGACAAGTATAAAGTAAGAATTCTTGCAATGTATAGCTTAAACACCCCACCCCACAAACACTTCCATTCCTCCATACCTTTTGTGGTGTCAGAGGTACCAACATTTTTCTTAGCAGGAGGACCAGAGATAAGGTGAGATGATAATTATTTACTATCAGCTAGGGATGCATCAGGCCTTTATTTTAGCTATATGTCTTTGTGAGTAAGCATGTCTTAGCTGTAAGGGTTACCTGATTGTTTGGGGTAGGTGTGATCCAATGGGGTGTTGCCAACTTTTGATCGATTGATTGATTGTGTACAGAATTGTACACAAAATAATGTATTATTGATTGACAAGTTGAAAAGAGCTATATATCATATAGATCTATTTTATCATTTGTTGATAAAAGTGTGATAATGAAATCCCTGACAGGTGAAGAACAGTGCCACCTAAAATGCATACAGTTTCAGGGTATATGTTGATAGATTTAATCATTGCTCATTAATAATAGTTTTAGTTTATACATGATCATCTTTCATATTTAATAGTGATTAATTCAACCTGATAATTGTCTTTGGGTTCATTTTAGGAGAGCAAGAGTAAGTGTTGAGCCTTTAGAAGGAAATTTACCATGTAAACTTCAAATTGAAACCAGGAAAAGCCTAAAGTACACATACACACTGCATCAGTTAACAATCATTGCTCTGTAAGGGTTAAACCATAACAACTAGCCTAAATTCACAGGTAAAACAACCATGGCAATTGTTACCCTGATGCCATATCACTGGCTCGAACAGTGGAAAGATGAGCGGGTGATGAAGCGAGGAGATGACTATGAGGGCATCAAGAAGATCTTTGGACACAAGGCAGTTGAACAGGCTTGCCAGCTTTTCCCATCAATCAGGGTATTGTTATTTTACTGTGGATGTAAAAACATGGACATTTCATATTTCTTTTTTTTTTCTTCTTCTTCTTTTTTTCCAATAAACAAAGTTGATGTTATATGGATCAGTTATTGATTGACGATGATGATTCCCCCCCCCCCATTCTTTTTTCTTTTTCTTTGTTATTGACTTGTTGACTTATAGTAGAATAGATATTCATTTTTGAGGAAACTTTAAAGAGATTAAGGATATATCAAATTAATAAGAAAAAGGTAATTATGATAGCATGTATATATCATCAGCATATATATATATATAAAAAATTATAATTGATATCATTTGATTCTTGATGCTATGTCTTGGGCATTGAAATTGACATTTATTTCTAGGACCACATTGACTATGTGAACATCGGAACTCCACTGTCAAATCAACACTATCTTGGTGCCCCTCGAGGAGAGATATATGGCCTGGATCATACTCGGGAGAGATTTTCAGCATGGGCCAATGCTGTGCTCAGGCCTAAAACTGACATACCTGGTGAGTTTGTTTTTTTTCTTTCTTTCTTTCTTTCTTTCTTTCTCTCTTTGTGTGTGAGTAAAATAAGTTTTTTGAAACAAGAAAATATGGAGCTCTTATTTTAGATTTAAGTTTCATTTTCAGATATATCTGATGCATATTTGAGGTTGTTTCTTTTTATTTCTTTGCAGGACTCTTTATATCAGGACAAGACATCTGCTCTTGTGGCTTTTCAGGTGCCCTTTGGGGAGGTATTCTCAGTGCTTCTGCAGCACTAGAACGCAACGTGTTCAATGACCTTGCAGATGTCCACAAAAGGGGGAAAGCATTGAAGAAGTCAAACTAACAGCAGGAAAGGGATTTCCCTCTTTGCTTTTCTTTCACACAGAGTATTTGAATATCATATTAGTTGATATTATATGTAAAATCTAGATTTGAATTCATTGAAATTCATTCTCAATAAATTAAAAAACAAACAGTATAAAGGAAGGAGACTGGAACAGTATGTTTCTTCCTGTTCTTCAGTTCATTACTGTCTTTACTGCATTGAGTCGTGAAAATTTGTTTTAGATACTTGTTTGAGACGTTGATGTGTTTTGTAGCATTTATTTGTATCATGAGTGAGTGGAAGAATGTGTGCACCAGTGAATTTGGTGAAGTTTAATATATGGTGCTATTGATAGTTGTTAAAAAATATATATTTTTGGACAACAGTGCAAGCTGAACCTTCAAGCACAGCATGATTGAGGAGAGGTGAATATTTTTCTATGGTTTTACAAGGAGGAATGACCCTAGCCTGGGACATGTATTTTTTTTAACATTCCTCTGGAATGTTGAATCCATTTTATCCTTTCTTGGTTTGTTAATAGAATGAGAATGTCCAAATCAAATAACTGATTTTGGTATTCTTATATGAAATATGATTTTTTCAAACTTTTAAATGGTTTCATTCATGAAAGATCAGAGCAGATAAACCTCTTTTTTGGGGGGAGGAGGGGTATGTCACTTAAGAAAAGGTGTATGTATGTATGATCTAGAGATTCATTGTAATACTTTTAAGTAAAAAATAATAATTACTGAACCACAGTAGTACATAATACTTGGTCAGAAGCCAGTTTCCTCATAACTGCATTAAACAAGTTATATTTCATTAATAGGAAAGAGAGATTTGAAGATTCTGCTCAGAAATAAAGAATTAATGAATTGAAAAAAAGGAAAATGGTTAGATATTATATCTTACTTTGAATAGCATTAAAATAGATGTAAATGGTTTAGTGGAAGTTTGACTCAAGTTTTGATTGCTAGTTGTAGAATCTTGTCATACTGTTCTCTAAATGCTAGTGTGAGTGTATTTCAGATGTTTTGGATATTTTCAATTGTTTATTTTACATTCATTAACTAATACTGTGAAATCAGTAACATTGTATTTGTTTTCCTTACTAAAGAATCTATGTATGTATGTGTATATATATTATTAAACAGATAACTTCATGTATTATCTCCTGGACAAGTACATGTATGGGCTGGGCAGTGAGTGTGAGCAGATGGCTAAGTCATGTATTCACCATGTTGTCCAAGAACACTTACCCTTGGATGGTATATTCTTTTATTTGCACCACATAAACCCAGGCAATCCAGGAGCATTCAATTCCCAGGCCCAAGTTTCAGTAGCAGACAGTGTTGTGCTGGTACAAATAATCCAGCTCAGAGTCATAAACACACCTGGAGCAAAGTTGGTGCTGCTGTATAAACAGCCATGACCCCATGAAAAATATTACAAATTGGAACTCACATCAGATGAGATACTGTAAAAGGACAACATTACTCTGGCTGGTATATCCAGGGGTTGTCCAGTAAAGCAGGGCTTTGGCTGAACAAGAGTTTAAGCATTAGGATGCATCTCTGTGGAACCAAAGAAGGGAACTATTTGTGAAACATGTCATACCTATTAAAGAAATTTCTGACCTATCATATTACCGCAAAGTCTCTTTGCTCAACAAATCAAGGATTAATGAAAGGACATTCAGAATGTACAAAGTATTTCAGTGTCTTCTACAATCCCTGTTTTCAACAAAACTTGTCTACAACCACAATGTTAAGTATAACAATAACTAGTATTATCAGTATCAGTATCTGCTGATGATGTAAATACATTTCAAGCAGAAATCTACTCTGTGCTCAATTCCTTGCATGGAGTGTACGTCTTGCTACCCACTGGCAAAGCTGTTTAAACATGGCATAAAGTACAAACCACCAAGAGACATGCCTTAGATCCTAATCAACTTGCCACCCAGAGCATCAGGTTAACAGGTATAATACAACTTATTGACATTCAATTGTAAAGGCCAACCCCAGCAGTAGCATATTATATAAGTAGTAATTAATGAAAGATTAAGAAGAAAGTTGATTTTTTCTTTTTTTTCTCATATTCTTTTATTTGTCATATTTGCAATTATTTGTAATTCTTCCTGTTCTTCTCCATCTTTTTATAGAAAATAATGTGCTTGCTAAATTTAGACCTCAGTATCCTCCATTTTCTTGCCCTTGCAATGTTAGCAAGATAAATACAATGCAGACTTAATAAAAATATATGTAACAATATATGTATGTACCAGGGACATACAAAGCTGGCAAACTTCTTGATTTTACCAAACACGAAAATAAATTTGGCGATAGAAGCACTTGGGGTCCAGATCTTTAATTTGCCAAATTTGTGTATATCTGTATATGTGGGTGTGGATATGCATATGTATGTACTTATATAGTGACAAAAAGGCACTTGTCTTTTATAAATGTTGACAAAAAGGCAATTCTCTTTTATAAATTTTGAAATAAAAGAATACTTTTGATATGAATAAGAAAATTAACAGTGCAGTATGTGTGTTGGTCTATGATAATATTGGGTACTTTTCTATTACTTATAATAATATGAAAGGGTACTTTTGAATAGGAAAATTGGTAGGAATGAAGCATGTGTGTAAGAAATGTACCCATATTCCTGAAAGAATACACGCAACTCCAGTAGACTTTATGTGGTCTGCAGGGAGAGAAGGATGGAAAAGGTAAAGCCAAGGTAATGGCAAAGTGAATCATAAACAAAGCAGTAATAAAATATCTCTTTACTGAACAGAGAATACAAATAACAATGGCTCCATGGATTCCAGAAGTCAAAATTTAAATCAAAGTTTATGAATAATCTATAATAAATTATGTACAATATCCACACACAAAAAGAAAGATTGCTTAGCAATCTTTTATAATATATTCCAATGAAAGCAATTAATTGTGAAATTGGTATCATTAATAATCAAACAAAGCCATTAATGACAAAATTATAAATTAACTATCATCAGAATAATACAAAATGACTGAATCATAAAGGCCTGTCCATATGAGCAGCATATAATTAACAGGTACCAGGGTGGACACAAACAGAAATGACACCTTAGGTAGGCAAATATTTAGTTTCCCCTTTTGTTTTCTCACCTGTGAAGCCACATTACAAGTAACTGCCACTGTGCCCACCAATCATACCCGCTGTGGTGGCATGATTAATTAATTAAATAAAACATAAATTGTCCCTTGCATAAGCATGTTAAACTTTGTTACTTAACTACAAGACTTTTGGCTTGGCAAACAGTGAAAATTTACATATACACAAAAAACCTTTGAAACAAGACAAAAACACATGCAGATATCCTTCACTTTACAATTGGATTACAGTTCTGGAACATTAATTTTAAGATGAGACCTTATACCAGTAGCATTTTTACATGTTTTATTGGTGTTTTCTAGGTAATCAAAAGTAAAGAAATGACTGCAAAAGAAAACCTATCTAACTCAACGACATTTAGAGGCAAAAATTATTAAAATGAACATAAGATTATAATACAATTATGTAATGAAACAAAAATCAATGAAATAGAAACGAATAAAAGACAGTGAACAAACTGAAGTATAGAAATGACCGAACAATAATTTTTGACACATGGCTTTTCCTTTGCCTTTTGCTCTGCATTCTGCAAGGTCCTATGCTTAGAGGCCAATTACCAAAGTTGGAACAGAATTAGAGGACCATGTACAGATCACACACAAACATTGCAATATTGAGGCACAAAGAATACCTGGACGTGTTTGACTGCAGACAAGTCTGGGTATGTTCCCCACCCTAAGTTGTAGAGATCATATAATCAAACCACCACTTATGGATTATATAATCTATTGTAAAAAATCATGTATAGATTTTTGGAGGCAAAAATTTAAGATTGTACAAGGGATGCCTGTATGCCTTTATATTTTCAAGGCTAAAAAAGTTTGGCTGGTTGTGTTAACAAAATATTTAAAATATATGATGTCAGAAATTACATAAATATACTTTTATATGACTTATGCGGTTATTACAACATAACCTTAATTTTCTTCATTTCTGAAGTTTTTTTTCTTTGCCTTAATACACAATGTATTTTTCATGCAGTTACTAACTTTTCTTGAGGACATGCACTTTTCCCTGGGCAAGGAGGTTTTTCAAAACTTCCATTTCTGTTGTTATTAACTCCAGTACCTCAGCTTTTTCCTGCTTCATCTTCTGTAGCTCTGCAATGGCCTTGTCCTCCTCAGCCTTGGATTTCTCCATTATTTCCTCAAGTTTTTGTTTTACTCTCTCTATGTTCTTCATACTCTTCTTGTTTGAAGTTTCATTAGCAGACTTATTTTTTCTCTTCTGGCCAGTTATCCTCTTGTGCACTTTGGTGATCTTTTCTTCACAGGCATTATCCTTCACACTGATATCTCTCTCCTGTTCATCACTTTGAATTACACTGCTGTCACATCTCTGACTTTTGCATTCTTCTTCATGTATTTCCTCTTCCTCAGACTGGACTCCCTCTCTTTGGTCAGCACTTTCCACTGACTCTCTTAACTGTTCTTCTTGTGCTGCATCGCTGTGATTTAGTAAAATTTGTTGGTCATCATTCTGCTGAGTTTGCTGATGCTCCTTTGTCTCAACTTCATCACTAACTTCATCATCGACTACTCTTTCAGACACAATTTTATCATTTTTTGAACTGACACCTACAGAATTATCCA